CCCCCAGGTCCTTTTCTGCCGGGCAGCTTTCCAGCCACTCTGCCCCAAGCCCATAGTGTTGCATGGGGTTGTTGTGACCCAGGTGCAGGACCTGGCACTTGGCTTTGTTGGTCCTCATACAGTTGGCCTTGGCCCATCGATCCAGCCTGCCCAGATCCTCTGTAGAGCCTTCCTACCCTCCAGCAGATCAACACTCCCGCCCAACATGGCGTTGTCTGCAAACTTACTGAGGGCGCACTCGATCCCATTGTACACATCACTGATAAAGATATTAAACAGAACTGGCCCTAATACTGAGCCCTGGGGAACACCACTTGTGTCTGGTCACCAACTGCATTTAAATCCATTCACCACAACTCTTTGGGCCCAGCCATCCAGCCAGTTCTTGACTCAGTGAACAGGACACCTGTCCAAGCTGTGAGCAGCCCGTTTCTCCAGGAGAATGCTGTGGCAAATGGTTTTTCTCTTGATAAAAGGCTTTACCAAAGCCCAGGTAAACAACATCCACAGCCTTTCCCTCATCCACTAAGCAGGTCTCCTTGTCATAGAAGGAGATGAGGTTGGTCAAGCAGGACCTGCCTTTCATAGGGCCATGCTGACTGGGCCCGATCACCTGGTTGTCCTGTGTGTACTGGCCACTGGCAAATACTGTTCTGCTACAGCTGGCAGCACAGAGTGGGCTTTCTCCATAACAAGAGAAGGGTTGAAAATATTCTGCAGGTGTAAAGGTGGTCCTTTTGCAGCTAGGTATCATTGAGGCTACCAGTAGTGTTCAAAGTGGTGTGCTTTTCTTGTGAATAACCTTCTTTTTCTAGGACTGCATTCACTGTTCAATTAGTTTCTTTTTTTTATTTTATTTTTTTTAATTCTAGAACATTTCTGTCACATTTTGTATCTTACTGCATGACTAGACATGACCAGTCCTCTTCAGGAGGCCATAAGGCCCTGTTTACAGAGGGCAAGAAGTGGCCTGCCACCTGTCAAAACAGAGTAGTGTGGGTTTTTTACTCCTGTCTCCCTTTAGAAACAGTGTGGTCTGGAAGTGCTGCCTTACAGGCTATTTTAATGCATACCAGGGCTTGATATAGGACAGAATATACTGAGCAAACTTAGCAGACTCCAGAAGATACTACCCTGGTACCCATTAGGAGAAGGTGCACGGGCTGGTATGTTTTACATAGGCCATACCATTTGCATGGCCCAGTGCTTATTTTACTCTTCAGTCGTATGTATATCTTGATCTTCAGCCTGAAAGTATGCAGACCGCACAGAGTTAAAATTTGGAATTGTCCTGTTTTCAGCTGGGATAGAGTTAATTTTTTCCTGGTAGCTGCCATAGTGCTGTGTTTTGGATTTCGTATGAGAATAATCTAGATAACACACTGTTGTTGCTAAGTAGTGCTGACACTAGTCAAGGACTTTTCAGCTTCTTATGCTCTACTGACTGAGAAGGCTGGAGATGCACAAGAAGTTGGGAGGGGACACAGCTGAGACAGCTGGCCCAAACTGGCCAAAGGGATATTCCATACTATATGACATCATACTCAGTATATAAACAAGGGGAAAGCTGGCTGGGGGGCTGCTGCTCAGGAACTGGCTGGGCATCAGTCAGCAGGTGGTGAGCAATTGCATTGTGCATCACTTGCTTTGTATATTCTTTTTTTAAAATTATTATTGTTATTTTATTTCAATTATTAAACTGTTCTGATCTCAAACCATGAATTTTCTCACTTTTACTCCTCTGATTTTCTCCCCCATCCCACCAGGGGGGAGTGAGCGAGCGGCTGTGTGGTGCCTAGTTGCCAGATGGGGTTAAACCATGACAGGAATGAAGCTAGGAACAGACTAAAATAATGCCCAGTTGGGTAGTAAATGTATCTCTCTATCATGGTGGATAGACAGTTCCTCCAACAGGCTTTGTATGGGAAGAGTGAAGTTGCGTGAAGCACCTCAGTTTCATAAAGGGATGGATACACAGGTTTGACATCTGCCCGTTTCTGTTCCTTGACATGTCAAAAATAATTAATCTCTATAAGGAAAAAAGATTGTTTTCAATTAACTTTTATGTCATAGGTTGCAAATCTACAAGGGTGTGAGACAGACAAAAAAGCTACATTAGATGCCTTAAGATGACCCCTTTTTATCAGCATTTATCCATTTATATCTCATACAGTGATTGTCCCAGCACACACTGAGATTCCTTGGCTTAGCTCCTTTGGGTTTGTTTACACAAGAGAGTGGCACAAATATAAAATATATATGTATGCGTCTAGGTAAACCACTGCAAAAGGTTACATGGATGTTCTTATTGCAGTGTAAATGAGGATGACTGTCTTCAACTGCTGAGTTCTTTTCTGAAGAACAAGATCTAGCTCAAATTGGCTTAAAAACATTTAAGTTAAAAAAAATAAAATGGGGCAAAGACATGATGAACTTTCTTGCTCTCTTTGTTTAAAAGTTGTGCCCAGTTGAGTTTATATAAACTTATGGGTTTGCCTTATACTGAAATAAAAGCATCCAATCAGATTAAGCAGGTGCTGCTTAGAATTTTACACAAAGTTTTGGCCACCTGCAAGCAGCTCAGAGTGATGCTGGCAAGGACAAGGCATTGTGAAGAAGCTTTGCTGCTACATAACTTTTCTCTGGCTTAACAGAAGACTGGTCTAAACAGGTGACAGTTGACTGTGTTTTTTCAGCATGCACTGTGGGAGTCAAACCTGAATTTCATGTAGAAAATAAAGTTTGTTCACAGTGCAAGAGGCTTCAATGGATGAAAACCATGCCCAGCATAAGCAGTGTGACATGAATCTTGCTCACATGCTTTCTTTAAAAGAAAAAGAAGTCCTGTTAAAAGGCTGGCTAGTGACTTTTTGTTCTTACAGGGATCTTACCATTGCGGCCAATGCAAACCAGGATATACAGGAGACCAAGCCAGGGGATGCCAGGCTGAAAGGAGCTGCAGAAATCGAGCCCTCAATCCGTGCAGTGTCCATGCCCGTTGTATTGAGGAGAGGAGAGGAGAGGTGACCTGTATTGTGAGTTCATAAATTCATGCATTTGTACAGTGAAAAATAGCCTTTTTTAGGCTGGAACTGAGAAGGTCTTTGTGGTTGTTTTATACAGTTGGGTGTTTTAACCAGATTGTGGCACACTGGCCTAGACCAGCTACAAAAATAACTGAGCTGAGTCTATTTTGCAATTGTTTTCTTCTTGCAGCATGTCTATAAGGCAGCCATACTCGTATACCATATTTATTCTGTGTGTGTGATTAGATCTTTTGGGAATGGCTTTTATAGACTTTCTGTAGTCTCCTCAGAAAGGACTGTCAAGTGCCACTCTACAGAAGACATCACAAGGACAAATTCCTCTCCTGGTGCTCAGCTACATAGCTGTGAGTAGGGATCCTCCCTGCATACCCAACATGCCTGTATTTGCCTGCTGATAGAGATGTTTTTTTTCCAAGTGAGACCACAGATTCTAGGCGCAGGTAGTCTGTACTGTGCTTTCCAGTCCTGGGAGCAGAGGAACACCATGTGGCATACGACGTTTCATTTTAAGAGTCTAACTGAAGTATATTACTTAGTTTTTCCAGCTTGCAAGGGGAAGCAAGAAACTAATCCTGTGTCCTAAATTTGGATACAGTGCGTGCTTTTGCTGGCACTTGCTTTGGTCTCATTTGTAAGTACATCTATTTCAAAGAAGAATAATCTAGGACATTTTAAGTCCATGTAGTGGGAAGATGGCTAAATACTTGTGTTAGGCAAGTCCTCATTTTAAGGGGAGGCCAGAGTTTGACATGCAGTTCTATGCATGTATCTTCAGTTACAACACAAATTAGGCATTAGTTTGAAACAATGCCAGTTGGCTAGGAGAAATTTGTGTGCGGATGCACTTGCTTTGCTGATACAAACTTAGTAACTGTCAGTGCAGTTTTCTCTTAAAACATCCTCTAGTTGCAGATGTATTCTTGAGATACTGAACAAAACACAGTCATGTCATCTAAACATGGGCCCCTTGCTGAGATGCTAGGTGCATATTCTGCCTCCGTCCCCTCTTTTCTTTTTCTCCACCTGCAGGCAAGGAACCAAAATTGATTCCTGACCAGTGTCTAAAAGAAATCTAGAGCACCCACTGAAATCATTAGGTGTTGCAGGCACACATTCCATTTAACATCAAGTTTTAGCTCTTTCTAGCTGTGCCTAGATACAGAGAGCTTGAAACAAAGATTTTCTTTTCAGATTGAGAGATGCTGAAGTGTACCTCATTGTACTTCAGTGTCTGTCCATGCCTTCTTTATGTCAGTGTTTTCAAGATTGATGTGGGCTTTCCCTCTTGAATATTGCTACAGTGACTCATTAACCTTTTGGTAGTACTACCATGGTGTTTTATTGGTAGTGTGGCATTGGCTGGGCTGGTGACGGTTATATTTGCGGAAAAGATGTTGACATTGACGGCTACCCTAATGAAGAACTCTCATGCTCTGCTGAAAACTGCAGAAAGGTAAGACATTCTTTTCTTAATCCTATAATAATTCAGAGCATGAAGGGGTAAAGAGGAAGAGTGGAAGAAACATGACTAGATGTATTAATCTTTTTTCAAGTTACTGAATTCCTCTGGATAAATTGTATATCATTTGATTAATTGATTAATTAAAACAATAATAGAAAAAGTTATTCAAATTATGGAGGCATCCAGTTTACCCATAGAACACCAGTCATGTCTCATTTTCTGTCTAGGACAATTGCAGATTTGTCCCAAACTCTGGACAAGAAGATGCCGATGGTGATGGGATTGGAGATGCCTGTGACGACGATGCAGATGGAGATGGCATTCCCAATGAGCAGGTGCTGTGTATAGATCAGGGTGCAGGGGTCTGTGCAAACAGAAGGATTTCACGTTACTGCAGTTGGCAGTGATTTTGAAATCTGGCTCACTACTATTTGCCAGAGTTTATCCCATACCCATCACTGTCAGCAGCTCTCTAAATCCTGTCATTTTCTTTTATATAATGCTTGCTATTATAGGACTTAAAAAACCCAGTCTGTCTCACCCAGTCTTAAATCCCACCAGTGTATGCTCCATTATTATACTTTAGCATTGAATTCTAGAGCTTTTTGTATACAGAACTTCTGTCATCCTCTCCCATAGCATGGCCTTCAGGAACATGACTTGCATTAGTGTCTTTCTTTTTAAAGAGCAGGTTGACCTGACATCACATTCCATGAGGGATCCAAAACCCACATAAATTAATGAGTGTCTTGCCAATAACTTGGAAAAAGCTATGAATCATGTTCTCAAAGTGAAGGAGGTTTCCATGTGGGTACACTACTGCAGAATGTATCAGAGAGTAAATTCAGACTGTAAAAGCTCTTTTGTTTTCACCCCATATACTCACATGCTCACTGTTGTTCCACATTAAGATCCTTCTGTGGTATTGCTTAATACACTTCCAAGGAAGACAACAAAAACACTTTACCCAGACTACAAAAGTCAATGTGGAGCTAGGGCAGACTAGCAATCACAGAAGGTCTGTCTCAGGCTGTTTTGCCACAGAGGCCAACCCTAAATTCTGGTAGCTTGAAACAACTGGTTTTATTAATGTTCTATAAGGGAAGATGGTAAATCCTCCTTCAACTGTAAATCTATATGCAGGCTCAGCACCTTTGCAATCAAGTAACTTCCATATTGTTGCTAAACTCTGTTCTGCCTCCGTGTGTACAAGAGGATGAGGTCATGGGTGTGCTAGATGGGAAAGGAAAGTTTACACCACTTTAAAGTAAAGTTTTCTCCATATGTCTCCTGATGGTCTTAGAGAGTGAATAGCAGCTTGGTTGACCAAAATAAAAGAAAAAGAAAGAAAAAAAAAGAAAAAACAACAACAACAAAAAAAGAAACCAAAAAAGTCTTGTACCTTTTTGCATCAAAAAGTCCTGTTTTTCCAAGTGTTTCAGCTTTGGTTTGAGTCTGTACCAGAAGGGGGCAACCGCCTTTCACGGAGAGCATCTACAAACCCTGTCAGGGTCTCTGAACTGCAGCTGTTGAGAAGGACCATGTAAGGAAGGCAGGGCACCAAAACAGGTTACTCACCATGGACGCATCCAAAATGAGACTCAGAAGTCAAAGTTATAAATAAAGCCTTATGATACTGGGTGTTTATGTTTAGGGTTCCCACGGTGTGGTTCAAAGCAAAGCTTTGAGGAAGCCAGTGAAATCTGATCCAGAGCTAATATTCACATAAAATATCAAACTGCTCACGGTAATAACTTTTTCTGAAAGTAGAAATAAATATAAGAGTTATAAAAATCCACTAAAGTAGAAATTAAAGATTCGGGGCCCATTTCATGTCTGATTTGGATCTGTGTCTCTTGCAGGATAACTGTGTCTTGGCTCCCAATGTTAACCAGAGAAACAGTGACCAAGATATCTTTGGAGATGCTTGTGACAACTGCCGCAATGTCCTGAATAATGACCAGCGGGACACAGATGGTGATGGGAAAGGAGATGCTTGTGATGATGACATGGATGGAGATGGTTGGTAATTCTTCACTTCCAGCTTCTCTGATGTTCTTGAAACTTGTGCACAATGTGCCGTGTGTTAGGAGATTTCCTGTCACCAGCTGCTAAGTGCAATGTAACACGTATTTCTTCATGGAACCTGTGTTTGGAATCCTTTTCATTTAGATTAATATATATCTTTTAGCCTCCATTGGAAGTACTGAACACGGTAACAGATAAACCAGCCCATGTTTCATATATAAGTTAAGGTCGTTGGTCGTTCAGTAATACCTTAAAGGTGCAAACATGTCCCAGAGTACCCAGCTGCTGCCTGTCCCAGATGTCCAAGAGCTATGTAATGTATTACTTTCATTGTTGTAGGGAGCTTGAAAGAAGCAAAAAAAATCACAACCCTTCAAATGTAATAACAAAGATGAAACATCCCATCCTGTAAGCTGTGATACAGGAACAGGGTAGAATGAATTATGTGTAATAAATGAAGTGTGTATGATGGGGTTGAAAGCTGTTTTTTAGGAAGGTGTTTCTAACTTCTATTAAATGAATGGATGCACACATAAGAAAGATTGCTGTGCAGGTTTATAATGTCATTGCAAGATTAAGTAGTTGCTGAAATGGAATAGTGTCTTTACTGTTCTTGATGTTTATGTTGTCCAATAACACATATGGGAATTGTTTTTAACTAACATCCAATCCACTTTTCGCTAGGTATTAAGAACCTTTTGGATAATTGTCAGAAGATCCCCAACCAAGACCAGGAGGACAAGGATAATGATGGTGTTGGTGATGCTTGTGACAGCTGCCCCACAATCAGCAACCCAAACCAGGTTAGCAGTCAGAAGGGAAAAATATCCTCATTTAGGGAGAGGGACTGCTGAGGTCCAAAAAGATGCAAGAGAATGAGACAGCTCATGCAGCCACAGTGTTTATCTTCTAACAGTAGGTATTTAGGAAAGTTTTATGGAGCTTCAAATTCTCCTGACATGGGAAAGGGGAACCACCAGGTATATTCCCATAGCTTGGGATGTTGTTTGCACCTCTGTCCTGCCAGTATCTTCTACTGTCATGCTCTGAAAAGTGGGCACGCTCCAGTCCCACAGACTCCAATGCCAGATTCCACAAAGTTGTGTGATTTAGCTACACTTGGTATTTCTTTCATTAGGACAAAATCCCGGTGTCCTTATTTAGCAAAACTTTCACTGCTCGTAGGTGAGAAGTCAGTAAGACTTTTCTTATGTTTTGAATTCTGATTAAGCCCCTTGTGACTAACAAAAAATGCTGGAAACTTTAGAGAAACATGGTAGACTTTCAAAGCTGCTTAAGAAATCAACCTTGGTTAGAAATGAGGGATGCGTATTTCCAGTAGTAGAGGAATCTTGCTTGAACTACTTATCTTGCTTGAACTGCTCTGTCTGGTTTTTTTTTTTTTCTTTAATAAAACTGACTTTTTGGTTAGATGGATGATGTAAACAAAAAAACCCATTTTGTAAAACAAATGTGTTTCCATGCTTTGATTTTAATTGTATTTGATTTGTTTGTGGTTTGGTTTAATACTGCCATTTTAATAGATGCTCTCAGCAGCTGATAATGTAAGTTTCTCTGTTTCTTTTTGCAGTCAGATATTGACAATGACCTGGTTGGAGATTCCTGCGATACCAATCAGGACAGGTATGCTGTGTTGTGGCTTGTAAACAGCAGCAGGGAAGTGGAAGAAGCTAGTCTTGAGCTGAAGCATGCTACTGATTCCTGGAGAGCTGTAATTCCTCAGACTAGCCTGGATTTAATTCCAGTACCTCCTCAAAGAGATGTTATTTCAAAAACAATATTATGATTTATCAGCCTTGTTCGTTCACTTCTCTGCAGCAGTACGGTCACAGAGCCCTTCACCTTTAGCTCCGCATTCCCACAGGCTTCCTGTGAGTTCTGTGGGAGTGACATTCAGAGCAATTCTCTGGCTGTAAAACCCAGAGCACTGCTCAGAGTGTCTTAGTGAGGTAACATCTTTTTTCTTTTCTTTATTTTTCATTCCTCATTTCTTTTTTTCTTTAGCAGAAATTTCAAAGTTCTGAAACAGAATTTTATTGCCAAGTGTAAAACATTGGCAAATAAACCCCTTTGCTTTAGCACAGAAAGAATGGCAAGGCTCCTCTATAGCTTTTACATGCCCTGAGCATTCAGGGGAGCACATCCCATGACAAACTGCTAACACCTGGCTGGAAGCAGCTTCTGCATAGCCAGCTTTGGGGGTGGCAAGTCCTCCCCTGTGCTCCTTGCTTAAAGCAAGATGAAAGGGAAGTGATAAATCCTGTGCTGGCACAGCGTTTTACCAGCCATAGACAGCTGCAAGGTCTCACTCCAGGGCCATTGGTGGGTGCTGCTGTCTGGGACAATAAGTGTGGGGAACCCACTTCCCCTCCTCTGCAGGGAGCATTCCCAGTCTTGGGCCGGTAGCTGCCAAGGCCCCCCAGCTGGGAGCTGTTTTACTTTTAAGTAGATATGGCCTTGTCTTTTTCCTGTTTTAAGAAAGGACATGTTTTCTTTCTTTCTTCAAACCTAACTAGTGTGCATGAAATGTTGCCTGGTAGAAATGCTGTTGCTCTGCCAGAGGTTAACCTTGCAATAGATACATGTGCATTAGTTGCTCTGACCTAAAATTAAAGCACCTTTCTTAAGCAGGGAGAGATAGGTGGGAATATTCATAGCTATAAGCTGCAGCACTGCCTTAATTTGGCTGCATGTCACTTCGGCTTTGCCGGTGCTAGGCAAAAAGCTACTGAGGGGAAACATGCCTGCTTATCGCCAGAAACCATTTTGTTTATGGTGTGTGTACAAACACACCTGACTTCAGGCCATTTTTTTGCACAGATGCACTTTACTGTTGGCATGGAGAAACAAAGCAGCCACCCCATAACTTCCCAAACCCTTTTCTATAGTCTGTATCCCTGTTCCTGGTGACTCTTCGCTGTCACCAGCTGATGCAGCCATGGGCTGGAGGGGTGCTTTGGAGCTACAGACTTTCTCCTCTCTTTCTTACTGCGCAGCTCCCCTGCGGACCATAATGTAACAAAATTTGCTATACAGGAGGGTGAAAATGGTGCTTGTTTTTAAACAAGTCTGATTTCAGGTGCTCATGCAGAGTGTCCCTTAAATTTTCATTCACACTCACACCTGCATATTCATGACCACCAAGACATTTGTGGACATGTGTGACAAGGGACACCAGCTGTTGAGCTCTTGCTGTTTCCTGGGTGCCTTTTGATTGGCAACACTGCACTTCTTGGATGTGCCTTATGCACCCCTTAGGAGTGGATGTTGTTTGGGATCTTGGGCTCTGGTATCTTTTCCCTCTCCATGTAAGGCTTCTTTTTCTTTTCCTTATCTGGGTATTTTTATAACTCTAGGCTTACTCTTTATCTTCCTGCCACCTTATCATACAGTCTCTGTTTGTTCCGTATCTCCTCACTGTTCATCCATCTGAGTGACACCAGGTTGTGATGCCCCACTGGTCTGTTTCCAGCTCTGGGGGTGCCTCCAGTGTGTTTCGCGCTCAGGTACCTGTGCTGCCCCCGTGCAGAGGCAGGAGCTGATGCTGGCGTGCCATTTCTTTTTGTCTCTGTGCTCACAGTGATGGCGATGGGCACCAGGACAGCACAGACAACTGCCCCACCATCATTAACAGCTCCCAGCTGGACACGGATAAGGATGGGTTGGGTGACGAGTGTGACGAGGACGATGATAACGACGGAATTCCCGACCATTCCTGACCTCTTGCCCCCAGGCCCTGACAACTGCAGGCTGGTCCCCAACCCAGGGCAGGAAGATGATAATGGTAAGACGGGCATTCAGGAGCCATTTCTGTGCTTAGGCACTACATCCTTCCCCAGGCATTACACATATGCACCAGGATCTGACACAGTCTCCACATATGCATACACTCACCCCAGGAGGGTCCCCAGCACACAGGGGCTTTTTGGCCAAGGCAGAGGCCCTCTGGTCCCCTCCCTGGGCATCGCGGCCATTGAGGCTGAGACTCCACCTGCTTCTTGGACACCCTGATGCAGTGGGTCGGCCAGATGTGGCTACTTGTGGCACCGTAAATCTGCTTTCACTTCTCCAATGCATTCAGGTGATGGAGTTGGGGATATCTGCGAGTCTGATTTTGACCAGGATACAGTGATTGATCGGATCGATGTGTGCCCTGAGAACGCAGAGATCACCTTGACAGACTTCAGGGCCTATCAGACAGTGGTGCTGGACCCAGAGGGGGATGCACAGATTGACCCCAACTGGGTGGTTCTGAACCAGGTAAAAATACATCTGGTCTTTCTTACCTGTCTTGAGAAAGATCATTTGAAAACCACAGTAAAACTGTCTCTGGAATTGCTGGACCTCTGGCAAACAAGTGAAAAGTGGAAGCTGTTGGTAGGTTGACTATTTTACAGGAGTTATAATGAAGGAACTTTCTTTTAGCATATGATAGCTTGAAGCTTGATGCTCCTAATAATCCAAAATAAGTACAGGTTGGTCAACTTGTTCTGGGTGAATTTCACTGCTGCCAAGAAGGCAAACACAAGACTCCTGTGTCACCCTATTGAAATACTTCCATAGCGAACAGTTTCATGAATCATACCCAGAATTTGAATGTCTGACCTGCTGTATAGCAGAGCATTTACTCCTAGATGGAGTCCAATAACCATTATTTACACTAACAGATTTTAGTCTTCAGGCGGCTAATGTGTTCTGAGTCACAAGGAATGTGCAGTTTATTCCCAAATTTATTGCCAAAGTCTCTGCCAAGCCAGCTGAGATGGATACACCTTCCTTAACCCAGTCCTGGCAGTCAGTTTAATCCTGAACTCCATGATCAAACTGTATGAGCTAAGTCTAGGAAAAGCTCTCTTCCCCTGCCAGCCCTCTTTCCACCCCCACCCCCAGTCCCATCTCGAGTTCTGGCCAGGTTCAGTCATTTTCAGAAGACTGGGGTAGGGAAAGAAAGTATCAGACTACCAGTATGGCCAATTCTGCAATGGGAAAAGAAAAATCCGTCCCAACTCAGGGCACAAAAGCAGCTGAAACTTTAGTATTTGATTATTATTTGGTTATAGGTCTCATTTTAATTCAGAGCTGCAAGTGTTACAGACATATTGTGAGCAAACAGAGGAGATGGATGGAGGGGGTGCTAGAGGGAGGCCAGAAGAGGCTGCCAGGCTTAGCCAACCCAGCTTGTCATGCATGCTAACCACCCTGAATTTACTCTTACAGGGCATGGAAATTGTGCAGACTATGAACAGCGATCCTGGCCTTGCTGTTGGTATGTACCCTCTTAGATTCAAGTTTTACAACAGAAAACGTACAGCATATGAACATATTTTCTGCAGGCTTCTTTATAACCTGTGTGTATCCTCAGGTTACACTGCTTTTAACGGCGTTGACTTTGAGGGCACTTTTCATGTGAACACAGTGACAGATGACGACTACGCTGGCTTTATTTTTGGCTATCAAGACAGCTCTAGCTTTTATGTAGTAATGTGGAAACAGACTGAACAGACATACTGGCAAGCAACTCCCTTCAGAGCTGTTGCAGAGCCTGGCATTCAGCTAAAGGTACTGGTTGTGGCTCCTAGCTGGGGACACAGTGGTCACCACAGTCTGGCTCTGCCACGTGACTGCCATGGGCTAAGCTGCCATGCCACGCATTGGCTAAGCCATCGCAGTGCGTGTTGGCCGTGCTGCCCACTGCTGTTAGCTCCCTGCAACAGGTGTCAAAACTGCGAAGTCAGGCAGCTGCCACACAGCCCTTTTAATAGCACTATTTTTTAAGGAACTTCATCTCCAGTCTTGCCCCTGCTCATCAGCTGGAGTGCTTAGTCTCTGCTCTCATTGTGCTCTGACTGTAACTGGTCAAATTGCCACCTCCTCCTTGGCCCACGTACTCAGTTGCTTTTCCATGCACGCAGTGGCTGCAGTTATGCAAGAAGGTAGGGGCTTGTGAGCAGGAGGGGGGTTGCTTCTGCAGACTTGCTCCCTGCTACAAAAAGACGTAGAGCTCCTGAAAATGACATTTCTCTGTGGTCAGCATTGGAAAATTGTATTTCTGCAGGCTGTGAAATCTAAGACAGGCCCTGGCGAGCACCTCCGCAACTCCCTCTGGCACACGGGGGACACCAGTGACCAGGTCAGGCTGCTATGGAAGGACCCCCGAAATGTAGGGTGGAAAGACAAAGTCTCCTACCGCTGGTTCTTGCAGCACAGACCCCAGATCGGTTACATCAGGTAAGAGAGGAAAGGATAGATAAGGTGAGTACAGATCCATGTCTGCCTAAACTGTCGTTTCTCAACACCTGATTCAGATGATAATCTGAGAATTTATAGTATGTCTGGGCTTTGCACTGCTGAAGCCTTATAACAGGTTAGACTTTTGAAATTCAGCCTGCAGTTCTTATCCTAGGAAAGACAATTCCAAGCAAAGCCTATTTGTAACTGAAGTTTTCTACCATCTGGCTGTTTCAACTGTGCCCTACCCTAATAAGCCCTTCTCTGGTTTTAATACCTTGTTTTCCAAGCTACTCCTGGCCACTGATCTGAAAAACAATGCATTTCAAACTGTTTAAATGTTGATCTTTTAGATTTTTTTCTGGAATTGTGATAGTTCATTTACATATTTTGGGATAACAGAATTAATAAAAATTGTCCACTTAAAGGTTGTGATCCTAACTAAGATCAGTGATTATCCTGACGTGATAGATTTAAGATTACATAACATATATCAAGAAAGTTTGTCAAAGCTATGTAATGCATGTTATCTATTCTTATTCTGTTATTTGGAAAAAAAAACTATTTAAAAAATAATTCACCTTATTCTGTTATTTGGAAAAAAAAACTATTTAAAAAATAATTCACCATTCGGGAGGAATTGTTTCACTCTGCAACATCCAGATCAACAGGAATTATACTTGTAGATCAAGGTTGATGTTAAAGTACAAAAAATAAACTGTTCTGGCATCATCAGCTCAGGTTTTGCAACCTTATAATAGAACAGAAATACAAGTAAGTCAGTTGTCCTTCAAAAAATCCCCACCCTGCAGTTGAGATGCAGTAACTTGATGGTATAATTATTCCACTTTTCTGGTGCAGAGCATCATCTTCAGCGGTAGCTGGAGTGAATAGGTTTGACTTTATGCTAAAATGGATTAAGAGCATTTATACTGTCTATTATTGTGTCCCAGCCACAGGGCAGTCGTGAATAGATCTTGGGTGGCAACTTTTGTTTAGACCGAGCTGTTTGTGAAGCTGCTTCACGAGCAAACATCTGTCTGTGGCTGCAGTCTCTCCTGCCAGCGTAATTAATGCCCCCTGCAACTGGGAAAGGTAGCAAAGTCAGTGTCACAAAATCCTTCAAAAACTAGAGGCAGCCAGGCCTAAAGCGAACCTCTGCCTGCTCTCTGTCCACATCTCACTGTTTAGGCCAGATGCCACAGACCATAATGTGTCTAGCAAAGGTTTTCCTAGGCTTCCTTGAAGCCTAGGAAGAAGTCACTGGAGCCATTCTCTCCCATGGAAGTTTGAAAGACAAGTTCTATTCATTGTATAGATACTTTTGAACTGCCACAGCAAATCAGGAAATCAGGAAATAAACTCAGGAACATAACAGGAATTGGGGTGTTTTTCTTACTTTATGAAAAAACACAGGAACTTCCTTTCCCTTCACCACTCGCTATTTTCTTGCATGTCAGACCAGCAGTGTCCTCATTGAAAACAGGGCCCTCCCGGCTCAGCATCCTCTAAGCCCTTTACCCAGTACCCCAGAGGCTGAGGACTTGGTGTAGACAGCGCTGCAACAGCTCAGCTGGCTCCGGCGCGGTCCTGCTCAAGCCCTCACTACAGGGCACATGCTGAGGCGCTGGCAGGGCACAGCTGTTCCCAGAGCTATTTGGGAATTTGCCTATGGGTTTTGTAATAAGAAGATGACAGATCATCAAAACTGTTCCTGGAATTAATCATATTCACATTTTTAAAGAAATCTCACACTCAAGTTTTAAGATTCCAAGCGGCTTGTTTGAAACTTTGCTTATTCAAAAAAAAAAAAGTTTAGCTTCAAACCATGTGAGACAATATCTATCTGGCCTTCTTCAGCCAATCTAGTCTGGTTCTCCCTTTCTCCTATAACTATCAACTGTGGAAGTTTGCAAGAGTTAAAGCTCTTAGCCTGACTTACTACAGGAAAAAACATTCCAAGGCTTTTTTGTGGGATGTGTAAAAAAAAAAAAAAAAAAAAAAAAAAAAAACAAACAAAAAAAACCCCCACCACCAAAACACCCTCTCTGCCCAGCTCTTGCTAGCGTGCAGCATTGCTCCAGTTCCCAGCCTACAGAGGAGCTATCTTAACCGCTTTTTCTCCCCTGGGCTAGATGGGAGGATAGCAAGGCTAGAATCACCATGGATAATGAAATTACTTCTGTGAATGTTGCAGTGTTGGAAAAGACCTAACAGAGCTTTTGTTTGCTTTCATTAAGGGCAAGATTTTATGAAGGCTCTGACCTAGTGGCAGACTCTGGCGTAACTATAGACACCACAATGCGTGGAGGACGGCTTGGAGTTTTCTGCTTCTCTCAGGAAAACATTATTTGGTCCAACCTGAAATATCGCTGCAATGGTAATGTTGCTCCTACATCATTTTAGCTAACAACTCGCAAGTGACCATGAAGAACCGGTAGTGTGGCTGTTGGATTAAGCCATTTTGCATCCTTTCCTTTGCTTTTCATTTACAAGTTACTCACAGCTGTGAAACGCCTCCCCTGACACCAGCAGCACACTGCAGCCCAGCCAGACGGGAACTAACACCTCACAACCGCTCCTCCCAGAGCAGTCACTCTGCGGCAGAGATTGTGCCAACTAAGTAGTATAGCTGTCATCAGAGAATTAGAAACGTTATTTAAAACCAGCCAACTGTGAGAGTTGTACATACAGAATATACTGAGGCCATCATGTATGTAGGGTGCCTCAAGTTCTGTATACAAGGTGAAATAAATCTGGAGAGTCAGCGGGATCAGTCACCAGGCATCAGTGTCACTCGCATACTTGCTGTTTGCTCCCATCTGTGGGAGGACAAGATGAGAAGATGCCCTTCCTCCCACGCAGGAATCCTTCTCAGACTCTGTGGGAGCATGCTGGCTCACTCCTCTTGGGGCAAGAGCCTCGCAGCTTAGCCCTGATCTCCCACTATATGGAATAACTCAAACCTTGGTCGCACACAGGCTGATCATGTCGGGGTATTTCTGCCCTGGCAGGAGTTCAGCTAGCTTGAAGTGGGGTTGGAAGGGCTGTTCCCCCACTTTCAGCATCAGTCCCTACCTGATGAAGGCAGCCTTAGGAAAGTAAGTTACCAGCCAAGTTGGAATAGTTTCCTTGTCTGCTTTCCCTGGATCCAAAAAGCTCAGCCCAGGTCTGCAGTGGACACAGCCACTGCATGGCCAGACTCTGGCTCTGTGGATTGTTCCGGTGATGGACCCTGGCTCTTGGGTACTCGGTATGCCTAGGCTGGCACTTGCAGGTCATAGTTAAACAGGGGAACTTTTAGACAGTGGTGCTTACAATTAAAAATTACTTGATAAGAGTCTCAAACAGTATGTGGTTTCCCAGAAAGCATGTTTCAAAGCTGCCACTGAAGTTGCAGATGCTTTCCTGGCTGTGAGCAGGCAGAGGCTTTGCTGCAGGCACTGCAGTAAGTCAATGAAACCCACTCAAAGAAGTCTCTGGCGTCCCCAAGTATCCCTGCTTTCATTTCAGACAAGTTCCTACATTTGTGGAAAAAGCTTAAAAAGCATTTTCAAGCCTCAAAAAAAGAAGTTATCAACAAAAAGCAAAGGACTTTCCCCTTTTTTTGTGTATACTGTGTGTATTTAGAGAGTTACTTCCTTTGTTGAGTTTGGAGTTACCGTTCCAGCATCAGGGTAGAAATAACCGGAGTAAAGTTAAGTTCAGGCAGTTGAGTTTCATTGCTGTGGCTCCATCTTTGGCTGCAGCTTTAGCTCTATGGTTAGCTCTGTGGCTCTCCAGGTAAAATGTTCTGGGATCTGGCAAAGGCACGCTGCAAACACAACGCTTCAAACAGACCTGTAGTCACTTTTACGACATTGACCCAGCTCCAGCTCCCTTCACCAGTTCTGAAATTTTTCTACTAGTTGCTATGGGTCCTTGTGTTAATGTTTCTGTCCCTTCTTGTGGCATGGGAAACCATCACAGGGAAGTTAAATTAGGGTACGTGAGAAATAGCAATGCCCACGCTACAAACATGTCTAGGGTGCAGAGCAAGACAATGATTTTTTCTGCCTTTTTGGTCAGTGTTTATTAATAAGAACATAAAAGTGGAAGCCACAAAGTTTTTGGGTGGAAATGTATTTTGAAGATTGACAGTACTCCATTATGGGCTGGCATTGTAGCACTTGCTGTGTTGTTAGTCGCTCCACGCTTTTCAGTGGTTTACAGCTGAAACTGAAAACATTCCCTGTTCATTCTTAATGTGTAAACAAAAGAGAAAGGCATGTTACCTAAAAAAAAAGAGTAGATGGATAATTCATTAATTTAAGTGCTCCTTCATTTTGTCAGAAGAGACTAAACTTTTCCATATTTTCCTGTTTTCAGACACCATCCCAGAGGACTTTCAAGAATTTCAAGCTCAGCAATTTGGTGTTGGGGATATTTAAGAAGGAAAAGCAAACTAACATTGCTATCGCAAACAATAAAACAATGTATTTTAAATCCTTATATGATTGTTGTAAGAGTGCACACCGCAGCTTGTTCTCATTGATGTGACTATGTCAGACTTTTTTTTGTATAAAAGTGAAAATAAAAAGGAGACAAAATAGACTGGGGCTTCACTTGTTTTCATATTTACCCTAAAATCGAGGGAGCAGCATGCAATGGAGTGACGCTTGCTTAAAACAGTCTCAGGAAAAGTTTGACTCTCTTGCCATTTTGGATTCAGTATTAAACATGGTGGGAAAGAAAGCACAATTTTGTCTGTCATCTGGAATGTGTCAGAAACAACAGGTTGCATCCGGGCATGAAGCAGTTAGGAGCTGTCTGGCCAAGCCCAGGGCTTCTTAGTGCCTGTGCAGTCCTGCTAGGAAGAAGTTTTATCTGTCTCCTTTAGAGCAGTTTAAGTCCTTCGAATACTTAGTTACCTTTGGCAGACCTCCTCTAAGAACTCTGTTTGTTAGACCTCCCTGCCCTCCCACTTCTAGAAAACTACGAGGACCAGTATCACATCCTTTAAAAGCCAAAAAAGCTGACTGCAAGGTGGCGTAGTCACATCTTATGACTTGCATGTGACTAAAACCAAAAAAAGACATATGGAGATAAATGCAGAATCACTATAGAGAGAAAAAAAACACATACACAAAGCCAGGCTTTCACCAGCTGTCCCCACTCAGAGCTGAGCTCTCTCAGCAGGTACTGCAATCTTATGAAAATAAGTTACCAAGTTAAAAAGCCAAAACACTGTGCTAAGTGTTAGTAACCATTAGGAAAGGACTGGAAAACAAAAAGCCAAAAAAAATTGTATCACAATGCACTCCATAATTCTAAGTATAGAAAGGTGTTGGATACCATGTGCATTTCTACTACATTCTTTTTCAAAATGGAGCTAGGAAAGGAAGGGAGGACAAGCTCCAAGGCCAGCTGAAGAAAAGGATATGGCAGCCTATAGGATAATTACTTTTAAAAGGACAATGGGAAACAGTACTTTAGCTTTGGGTGGAGAGGGAGGGAGGAAATATGGTGAGGGTTTTAAAAAATCAGAAGTAGCCCTAAGAAAAGGAACAGCCACAGCTCGCTCTTAGCACAAGAATACAGGGGAAACGCTGAGTTAAATTATCAGATGAAAGCATCAAAACAAAAAACATTTCCTGTTCTCAGTACAATAAAAATACCCTTAACGCTTATGGTGCTATCTAAGGCTCGGGCTATGAGAGGAGTTTTCACCGCGGGCTTGTCCACCATTGCCAAGGCTTCTGGGAGCAGCACGGCCCTGGGGCCTGTCCCACAGCAAAGAGCACGACGCAGGAGCGTCGCCCTGGCCTGGCACGTCACCATGAAAGGTCCTCCAGTTTCAGTCCTCCGTTCCCCTTGGCTTCACCAAACCCAACTTCACTCACCAGGTTGTCAACGGAGGATTGAAAGGCTAGTTACTTTGGAGCAACGCAGAGGGTATTGTCAAATTATGCTTAGGAGATGAGAAAAAAACCCCATCTTTTTCTAGCTGAGCATAGGCTGCAACAGCAGTATCATTCATTTATGAAGGAGAACACAGACCATAAAGCAAATTTACATCTTCCTTACCATGTATTTGCAGTGCACACGCTTTGCGCACGTGGTCTCCTCCCACCCCGACCTGCCTGCCGCACGTGCTGCTCCGAGCACGCCAGCACCCATCAGCTCCGTCAGAGAACACGACTGCAGCTGGCCTCCCAACCCCTGCCGGCCTCCGGACCTCCCCCAAGCCCTCCCGTTGGCGGCCAAGGCTCTCCTCCTGCTACAGAGCACTCTGGCTGGCTGCCGCACCAGTTTGCCACCGCTGAGCTCGCCCATTTCCAAGCTCTCTTCCAGCCTACGCCACAGCCGTTGGCCACTGGAGGCTGGAAGATGAGATCCGGACTCTGGCTCTCGTGCCGTCAAAGGGAACTGCATGAAGCCGTGAGCTTCTAACCTCCCCCGACAGAAAACATTTTGCTCAACTGGCAGCCACAGAGACCAGTCACAGCTCCGCCAGCCAGAACTCTTCTTTTGTTTCAGAAGGTGCTGTTGGGACTTGCAGTGGGATGCCAGAGCTCACTATGCCTGCTGTGTTGACACACCAACTGCCGGGTAGCCTGCAAGTTCAGGAACAGCAAAGCCCAGCTCTTGCAGACAAAGATTCGCCGCAAGGTCATAGTCCGGGTTTGGGAAACCTCCTGCCCCTCGCTGTGCAGTCCCTGTGTGTAAGTGTTTAAACAAGCGCCTTTTGCACCACTACCTCTTTCTGGACTATTGTGCAATGCAGACATAGCTCCATGTGTGGCCTCTGGCAAGTAAAGACGCTGCAATCCCCCCTCCGAATGTGCAGTCCTCCCTTGCCCCCACCGCCTGCGCAGCCGGGCTGCGCTCAGCTAGAGCAGCAGCTGCAACTACTTTGGAGTTCAGAGTCCTGGGGCTCCTGCACCAGGGTCTAACATCTCACCAAAGGTTAACTCTTTCCTGTGTGCTACAAACACCACGACAAACACACTTCAAATGCTTCTGTTGCCCACAGACGGTCTCGTGATTTGAAACAGCAGAACATCCTGCCTGGACGGTGCAGGGTGGGGTGAAGGCAGGGGCCGGCAGACTGGTGGGAGGCTGCTGAGCAAAGGCGGTCGGCTCTCGCCGAGCCTCAGCACCACTCGGGCACCGCTCCGTGCCTCGCCCCTCAGCCAAAACACGCAGCCTCCCAGCTACACGCACCCGAGCGCTCTTGTGCGCCAGAGCTGCGTGGAGAATAGCAGCCGCCATCTGACCCTTTGAAACTTGGTCAGCAGTTTCTCACAACCACAAGGAACCCGGGTCCCGGTGTGGGTCTGCTCGGCGCCACGGCACGGCTGCAGCCAGGACCGTCAGGCTGCAGCTGGCACCTGCTGAAACGGGACTCCACGACAGGCCCGAACACGGATGGTGAGAAGCAAGGGACCAGGACCTATGGAGACGCAGCACTTGCCCTGCTGTGTATCTAGGCGTCACACTCAGCAGCTGCCCACCCAACCATCTGGGCAAATGAGAAAAAAAACCCAGAGATCCTTGTTTCAAACAACTGCCTGGGCTTCAGTGCCATACTTAGCCTGGAAAATGTTTTGTTTGCGCTGTTGGAGGTATCTGACACATCTCGGAGAGCTGGATTGTACAGAGCAGATGCCACAGATGAATCTTTGCAACCTGCCATCTTCCAAGATCTCACTCTGGAGGAGTACAAAAATAACATGAACGGCGAAGCCACGTAATATTCCACAGGCCAACATTTTTTTTGTTGAACAACATCCAAATATAGTGAACAAAAAAGATCAATCAATTTACTTTTACTGGCTCAATAATTGCTTAGCTCATATATTTATATATTTTTAAAGTTTGTCATAGAATGAGTTGACTTTTCAACCTTTATATACCACAACAATTAATTTCAAATCTAAGAAAAACTTTATTGGTCCATTAAACATTAAATCTATAACAATACATTCACTCAGTATACAAAAGGAAGTGTCCATTAAAACCATTAACATGCTTTAAAAAGACAAAGCTCTTGGCTATTTTACAATTAAGATCTTACAATTCTGAAATCTTTACCAATCCTTAAAAGTTAAAGTGTTACAGTTACTACAGATCACAACATTCGCAAAAATGTTAAATAAACTAGAAAACCTCCACTTCACTGGGCTACAGCTTAATAAAATAAAACCACACATACACACTAAAAAGTTCCCTTGAGATACTAAGAACCTTGAAAAAGACTGATTAAAAACCCCTCACCATTAAGAAAAAGTGTTTACATTTTGACTACTTTGCATCCAATTTTCGAACATGGCATATACGAGACTGAACACCACTCATTGGTGGTAAACAAAAAGCAGACAGTGAATCTGTATGTTCCTAGTAAATATTTTTTCAGCTTGTATATGACAAGTTGAACAATTTTCTCTGAAAGTTAATTCTCCTCACTTTAAGTTTGCATGGATGTCCAACGACACCTAAGCACCTGGACATGTATCGGTAAGAGGAAAAAATAAAGCCACGGTATGAGTAACAAGACATTATTTCCCCATAGCACTCCAAAATTATTCTTGGCTTCGTACTGAGGCTTCTTTGGCAAAAGCGCGGGTGCAGTGCTGCACCCCACAGCTCTGGCGACCAAAAGCCCTGGAAGCTTTAAGCTGCTGAAGCGGTTTCAAAGCTGACGACTGTGGTTCTGAAGAAGTCTGTGCAAATGGCTGTACACTATGGCACTGGGAACGATCGGAGACTGGCAAACAGAGGGAAGCCAACGTGGCTTGTATCTGAAACAAATGCCAACTTTTTAAAAATAACATTATTGAACAGGTGTGGAATGAGTCGAAACCAGGTTTGAGAAAAAAAACCAAAACAAAACTGGGTTTAAGGCCTACTTGGAACCTACAGAGTTTCTTCAGGCATTAGAAAGCAGCCATCATGCCAGTCTCCCAAAGTTTCTACTTCAAACCCTGTGCAGCACGTCTGCATCCCCATCCTGGAGCGCTCAGGCATTCTGCCATCAGGACATTGAAAATGCAGAGACATACCAGTTCCCAAAGTATGTATCCTATTACAAGTACAGAAAGCCAAAGCTTTCTAAGCACTTGACCCCTGGCATTCCCTTGTACAGTCATGTGAAACACTCAATTCAAGCTACATTTTACAAAATTGAAAACACAAAGTAAAATGCCATGGCACTGATTATGTGTTTTCCTCCCACAAGAACTTGTAGGCCACTTCAGAAAAAAAAAGAAGCAGTTTTCACAGAGGAAAACTGATCCATATAATAAACTATGATCCTTGACTTTGCTTCAACACTGCAGGTTGTCCTGCTATAAAAAGGAAAGGATCAACGAGACCTGGCGAAGAAGTCTTTGCTATTTTCTAGCACCAGACATCCCACTTGACGGGAAGAAGAATGGGAGTGAAGCAGGCTTACAATGCCTTTAAAAAATCGAAGGAGAAAAAGGCAAATAAAACGAGGAGATACAGCCTGCAAGCAAAAGACATTGCTTCTAACGCCCAGAAGGAAAGATGAGAGCAAAATTTTAGCTGCAGATAATCTCGCTCATCTAGCCACACGAGTACAGTC